AATTATTTTTTCTAACCTAATTATTATAATAGAATTATGTTATTTTATTTTGAATACAAAAATTAAGTGATTATTCTTAATAGCTGTTATTGAATCATAATATCATTTACAGTGAAAATCAGTAAGTGATCCAATTTTATGAAATTCATTAGTAACTCATATTAAATGTGATTTTAATTAAATTAATTTTAAATAATTGTCTAATAAAACATTTTACTACCATAACATACAACTTTGAATATACCAGTATTTTGAATTATTTTCATTATATTTAGTTATGTATATTTCAATAAATTGTATGCAATAGTTTTAGATAATATAAAACCCTTGCAGTTTGCCATAGATAGCTACCAAAGCTTAGAGAAAGTAAAATTTTAACGTGTATGAATACTAACATTTGTCATTTTAATAATTACATACATATAATTTCATATAATATATGCAAATTGTTTAAGTGTTTATTGAATAAATCCAAAAACAAACATAAATAATATAAAATACTTAACATTTTACTTTTAAATTTATGTTATTTGTCAGACAGTAAATCGTATGTAAATTGCAGTAAATAGGACTTATTATAAATTATATAAATCCTTTCAATAATATAAGGATCTTTTAAAATTCAATACAAATAGACCACAACTTTGGTTGACTTGTATTAAATAGCAATGATGTAAATGCTATATTAAATTTTAATTATTTTAAAAACTTAACTTTATTTTATGCAATAATTTAGATATACAGTAATTTATAAGTGCATATTAAAAAGATAAAAAATATATAAATATATTGTTAAATAAGTATAAATAAGATGTAATATAAATATTTAACTGAAGAGGTATTTGAGATATGGAGTGAGAAATGAGATGTTATTTACAGAATGTATAGCAAAAGAGGATAGAGTTGAGGGCATAGAAGAGGAGGTAATAGAAATCAAATAATCAGATTTGGGGCTCAATTTGTTGCACATCTTGGGGTATAATAATGCGGTAAACTCGGGGGATGTCGTCCTCGGCCTCCACCTCAATGGACCTCTTCTTGCGGCCGCCCATCACTATAGTCGTGCCCTTACTCTTCTTACCAGTCCTTATGAATGCTACCAAAATGGGAGACAAATATTTTGAGATAAAGTATTAAAATTTTAATTCTAATAGTAATAGTAATTAAGAGTAATAAGATTAATTAATTAAAGTATAACAATTAATCATATAATCAATAATATTTTATTTATAAATTTGTAACCTTTCTATTTCATTTTAAAGCCTAAATATTAAATAACAAATAAGTTTTTAGTTAAATTTGAAATATTAATTCTATATTAATATAATACTATATTATTTTAGGGATTAAAATAAAATTTATTTTATATGACTTAAGATCTAATAAATCTTACTTTTTAAAAGTTAAAAAAATTATTTACTTTACGATCTTTTGCATTACTACTCTTAAAACATTTCATATTAAATGTCTGCAATTAAGGTTTGTTACGTTAAATAATTTACAACTAATTTATCATGAAACTAGTTACTATTTTAATTTTTCAATCGTATTACAAAATAAATAATCATATAGCTATTAATAATAGCCTATTATTGTTTCTGTGGTTTTTAAACAAATTCCAGATTATAGATGAGTTGTGAGTCGAAAGCTTTTTAAAATAAACTTCTATACTTTACTCGTAAGCAATAGAAAAAAGCTTTCGATAATCCGGAATTTGTATAAAACCCACAGATATGCTATTATTGAGTAACAGAAAAAAAACTGTTTATAATAAATAAGACAAGACAGTCAAAAAGCTTTTTTATAAAAATATCAAATATAAATAAATGGGTAATAGTACTCGGTGTGGACCAGCCTCCCTTTTTGCCCCAACCACTGCTGCCAAGTATAATGAGGTCCTGGTGTTTTTGGGCACTGGACTCCAACACCAAACACGTCACCACAACCATCACAATCACTAAACCACTCATTACTTTCATTATAAAGGACTTGGTTTTAGAAATCTTGTCGACACAAAACTTTTAAAAAATTGTTTATTTAAAATGAATCGAAAGTGAAGTTCATTTGAAAGTTTTCGCACTTTTTATATCAACAACTCTGTTATGAAAATCAATGGAAATTACAAATAAAACAAATTAATTAATTCACACAAAAAGGTTTACCTAAATGAGGCGTAAATGATTTCTTTTTTGTGTACATATGAAAGTGTCTCGTAATGTTTTTGAGCAAAAAACACTAATTAATTCATACTTATTGTCATAATAGGCAATAAATAGCAATTTATTTTCTCATTTAGCACATGATTTCCGATTCAAATCATCACTGATTGTATGGAAAGTGTATTTAACTTTTCTAACCCAATAATTATGTGTTCACCCATTGAACTAATTTGAATTTAATTGAATCTATACTATGATTATTGTTATTGACATTTGCTATTATAATAAGATATTATAGATAATTGGTTATTATTTAATTTATGAAAATTACATTAAACTCTCATTTGTGTGTCAAACGAGTCGTTTTGAATGACATTTAATCCCAAACCCGTGGAAAAGTTCAATTGACTCATAAAACTTGATTACAATTTGTTATTTAGTGTAATGTTTAAAGTATTTTATCATTTAGTGTTTATGTAACTAATATCTTATAAAGGAATATTAGACTTTTGCAAATGCCAAATTGGTATAACCATGTGAATTGGCATGAATATAAAACATTTTGTGCAAAATAAAGTCTAATAATATTCATTAATATTAATCTTGAACCTTATTATGTTAAACTATTGTATATTCAAATATTCAATATTAAGAATATTAAAATTTAATATATTTAATTGTATTTTAAAACATCAATAATCATCAGATTGTATTCAAGCATTAATCATAAATAAGATCAATAAATATTCTTAAAGCATATTATTAATTTAATTAAAAAATTTTAAATTACAATTAATAATAAATTCATCAATTAAGAAAATAAACCTTAAGTTTTATTCAACAATAGAAATATTTTACAAAACATAAGAAAGACTAATAAATCTAAATTCAAAATTATTCGCTTATCTGTAAAAACTATAATAATTTGAGTAAATGTATTGATAAACAGCAAATATATTAATAGAAATGTTTTGCCAAAACTAATCATTGAATGTTTGTTGTATTTAAAGGACACTTCGCCTCCGTCTGCCGTACCATATGATAGTAGTTCCCGAGTGCTTCTTATGGCCGCCCTCTTTGATAATACCTGTCATATAAGATAATCGTATATTATTTTTATGGGTTAACAATAATCATATTTAAACACTTACTGGGAAACATATGACCATGCTCACCATGTCCACCCAATAATATGAAGTCTCCTCCGTGATGGTGACCGGCCTCTTGAGGCTCAATGAGGGCCGCACTAAAGATAATGATGACCACAAAAAATGCGTTTAATTTATCCATAGTTTTAGTTTATAACTGATATTTTTGATTACAATTGAAAACTATTTAAGATTTCTTATGAATTTCAAACAAACTTTCACTCCTTTTATATATTCTCAACATTTGAATCGTTTATAATATTTTTAGTAAATGACAAATTAGTTTTAATGTAGATTATTATCAATTGATTAGTTTATTGTTTTCCTATTAAATTATTTTTGTGTTTTTTTAAATTTTTAATTTAAATTTTGAATTTTGAATTAAATATTTATGATTTCATTTATGTAAACATTGTAAGCATGTTTTAATTTATTGATATTTGATTATTCCTACTGTACTGTATAAATAGATATTATATTAATATATGAATTAAAAATTAAGTAATATTTTATGTATTCATTTAAAATATTTTGTGTAAAATATGTTTTTGAAAGTAAGTGATGCGAGTATAAGTTTATTAAAACAAATTAACCCGAACATGGTTATTTGTTTTCATGTTATTCATTTATTTTTAAGTAATAATTATTTCTGTCTTAAATAACTTATGTAAGGGTTTATTATTTAAACTACCGGTGCTTAACACTCAAGTTTATTTGCATAATAAAATTTGAACTCCATTCAAGCAATCATGCTACTATTTAATTAAAATGTTTAATGTGCAATTGTGTCCACTAGTATAAAATTATTTATTTGCGCTTAACTTTAAATATTTTTGATTATTTAAAATAAGTATAGACTTTTAATAATTTTATGTTTGAATATTTTGTTTAGACGTAATGACAGGCTATTATATAAAAATACTCAAGAATTTATTATTTTAAAAATTATTAAATACTAACTTTTAAGTATTACTAGTATAAATGTACAGTGTTAAAAGGTACATAAGTTTCTTTAAGTTATTGCTAATATTTATAGGGCTATAATTGATTATTCCATAATTTTAACAGATATTATTAAATTGGTTTAAAATATTTTTAAATAAATTGATTGAGAATTATAAGTAATAAATTAAAGTCTTTATCAATAGGATGTTATATTGAGATATTTATAAAATTATAATTACTTGGTAAATATAAACAAATTACAATTTAAATTAACTACAAATTTTAATAATAAAACAATATTTGTTATTCAATTAATAACTAATTATTTATAGCAAAACTCATACACTGGCAGATTACTTTATTATATATATATGTAAATTCATAATACAGTGCAAATTTTTAAATATAGTGAGAATGTATTAAAGATTAAATGATGCAAATCCGTACCACTATATCCCTGGGTTCGGTGGGTTAACCTGTTTTTTCAACATATCATATGATATTCACAGTATAACCGAGACTTTAGATATCAAATAGCATTACGAAATCAACAGTTTTCTCCTATTTCTTCCAAAATTCTGATTAAGTTTTACGGATTTGTATTTTGTGTCATATTTTTGATTCATTACATTTAAGCCAACCCTAAGAACAGTGTTTTTGTTTCAGTGAAATGTGAAATTTGAATGCAATAACAAAATATTAGCAAATAATTATATGATTTTTTTCTATGACTTCCTTATTATATAATGATATCATATATTGAGACACGAGATCTAAATATTGTAAACCAAGCGTTAATTCTTTGTGAAACCTTTCTTATTATCCAAAGGTTCGCCACAATTATTATTTAGGCTTTTATTGAAAAGTTTAAGTTTCCAAATGTATAAATCCTTTAATGAGTTTAGGCGTGAACTTAGATTTTGACATCTGGTAAAAGGTCTCAATGAAGGCCATACATTGTTTTAACATTAATTAAATTATCTACTTAATTATTTAAACACATAATTTATATTTAATTGATTAATTTATATTTAAAAATTTATAAATAAGATGTTTATTAGTAATAAATTATTATTTTATATTTAATATCTTACTGATGAAACTTAAGGATAAAATAAGATTTATATATTCTACACATTTTATTTATTATGTTTAATATTTGTTTAATCTTTAAAAAGTTTAATAGATATTTATTTTATTTTATTGTTTATAAATAATATAAATAGACTAATAATTGTTTAAATATAATTAACAAACAAACTAAAAACGAGTCTAATTTAAATTTTAACATTAAACCTAAAAAGAATACAATAAAAAATAAGTAATAAAAAAACTATTTTTATTCATAATAAATATTTTTAAGGAAATATATATATTTTTTAAATAATTAAATTCTGGAAAATCAGTTAGTATACTACTGATTTAATATAACACTGTGGAATATGCTACTTTCAATTGTTACCTAAATTATTATATAATTTCTCATAATTTATTTCCAATAGTTTATATTTAGTAATCATAGCACTATTTTATTAGCCATAAAAATGCATATTCAATTTAGAGTACAGTCAAAGCATACAGGTAAGCTATTAATATAATACTGTATATAATTTCAAATGTTATGAGAAATAACCCCTAATTGAATTGAATTTGCTATAAAAAAAAGAGCAAACTTTGACTGTGTTTTTGAAGACTAATTGATTTTAAAGCATTGAATTTATTATTGTTTTATTACATGTATTGTTGTTTATTAGCATTAAATTCAATGGTTGTTGAGCTCGCTTTA